CCCCCGCCGCTTCCCCGATTCTCTTTCTCTTCGGGCCCGGGGCGGCCGTGCTCTCCGTCTCTGCTTCCTCCGCGCGCTGGCGCTGGCGCTTCGCGGATGCTTCCGCCTCCTGTCTGTGCCATTTCCTCATGAACCATGCCGCCCCGTCCTCGATCTTGTCGTACCACGCCTCCTGGTCCTTGGCGCTCTCTTTCCATCTCCCCCCCTCCTTCTCCTCTTTCATGCCAAACGCCACGAGGGATGTGTATGGACGCGTATGCATTGGCGTCTACGAAACTTTAGAACTCGCAAGAAAACAAAACTCTTTCGATCTGTTCATCTCACCATCTAACTTGTTTCCGGAGAGGTAGAGCTCCGTGAGGGCGCCAAGCTGTCCTAGCTGAGGCGGGATATGGCCTGCAGATAAACGATTCGACGCAGGGCAGTTTGGCAGGGTACGGAAGAAGTTATCCCGTCAGTTCTGAAGTTTGGTGGACGCCAATGCATATGCGTCCACGAAACTTCAGAACTCGCGGGATATCTTTTTCTGTACCCTGCCAAACTGCCCTGCATTATTCGCTTCTTTATCAAGCTTGATTTGTATCGCCCTCCTGCTTACAGGCCTTATCCCGCCGGAGCTCGGGAACCTCGGAGCATTGAGATTGCTTGACCTTGTTGGCAACCAGCTGAGCGATGAGTCATGGAGTACAGAGTGTTGATTTTGCAAAATGTCCCAGGATGAATCAATGTGTATGGACGCGTATGCATACACGGATGTTGACCTAACCTAAAAATTGACTGACCGCTTAGCTGGTTGTTCCCCATGGAGATTGCAGGCAGGACGTATGCTCTAGAAGCGGCAAGACTTTTGTCGAAGTTGGGGAGAGCAACAAAATTCCGCCCCCATCCCTTGTATGTTCAGTGTCGAGCAGCACAAGCTCCTTCAGCTCCATGAATGAGGTCCGCCATTCCCGCACAATCCAAGAAAAAGACTTGTTGAAAGTATCGTGCGAAACACTTGTAGAACATCGGTCGTGGTAAGGGCGGGGCATATGTTCGTGGAAGTCGAAACGCCATAAATTGGCGTCCAAACACGATACAACGCACCACTGTTTTCGGGAATGGACTTCCCGTGGTGACGCATGTGGACATGAGCCATTCGTGAAGAAGGATGTGGCCTCAACTTGTTACTGGCGTTGGACGGACGATCTTGATACTACAGCGTGTTGGGTTTGGATAGCTACCTGTAATGTCCCGAGTCCGATGTGCTTGGCCTTGACGTGCGGTTACACGGCTGTCTGTCTTTCCGCCAGGTCTCGGTGAAACCGAGGATGCATTGCGACTGGTGGAGAGGCTCGGAGACTCTCTATATCTGCATGGCAATCCGTGGATCATGCCGCCCGAGGGTGTGGTGGAGGCGGGATTGACTGCCGTCAAGAGATACCTCGTGGACGTTCGAGAGGCCAAGAAGGCCGGGGCTGATGTCACGTCCCTCCAGCTTCTTAAGGTGGTCTTGGTTGGCTCGGCTTCGGCTGGAAAGACTAGGTGGGTTTTCTGTGGCAAACAGCGGCATTTGTGCACATACCGTCACCCCACAGACGGATCGTTGGACAGCTCTACCTAATATTTGTGAGTAGAGTAGCCGGGCACGGCTTGCTCAGACGAATCGCGCTCAGCGAATTCAGTCGATACCGGTTCACGGTGACAGGGCGCTTGCCACGACATCCGCGGATCGAGGCCCTGGATACTGCTGTTGCTTTTGTGGATTGCTTCGCACTTCGGCAGAGGTTGACCCCCATCTGTTTCACCACTCCTCGTGTCGCCATGTTGAACGATAGCAGTTTGATGCACAGCATCATCGCGGGCCGTGGCTCCCCGACGGAGGGGACGCCAGCGCAGGCGAGTACCGTGGGGATGGAGCTGCGCCCTTGTCAGCTCCAGGACACAAAAGTTGAGTTCTTCGACTGCGCTGGACAGGTCGACTACGCCGGAATGCACCAGACATTTCTCACACGACGGGCTCTGTACCTGCTGGTGGTGGATATCACGAAGTACCACGGTGTGGACGACCTCGACAAGGTGCGCGTGCCTCAGGCTGACGTGATTGTATTCCGGTAGCTTGCAGTACTCGTACTTTTACGTGGATGGCCTTGTAGATTCGAGCATGCAAGCATATTCAGGGGCCATTCGTGGTTACAGGGTTGAAGGAACTAACGGTATACACGATACGCTTGGTAGAAACGACAACATCGTACCGGGTCCCGACCCTCGAAGAAGGCCCAAGCCACTGCATTGATTTTATCTCAATTTACCCATCGCTCTCCTCACCAATTCAAACCCACCCTTGGCTTTGTCGCGTCATCTCTCAAGCGCCAAGATATCAGGACCGTTTTCAACCCAAGTCAAAACTCGTCAACTGTTCGTCGCTGACGTTGCTGCGTGCAGGCCATCCACGACGACATCATGCGGTGGCTGTACTACCTCTACCTTCGGGCGCCAGGGTCCACCGTGGTCCTGGTCGCCAACAAGTGCGACGGCTCGATCGACAAATTCGCAGAGACTGCCGAGAGGATCCAACGACGTGTACGCGAGCTGGTGGCCGTATGGCACGAGGCCCGCGGTCTTCGTGGCCGGAGTAAAGGTCATGTGACGGACTTGACTCTTCTTCCAGGCATGAGCCGCGTAAGCTGCCAGGAGAAGGGCTCCCCGGAGGCTTCGGGTCTCCCCGCGCTGATTGCTCTGATCTCACGCCAGGCTGCGACGGCTATCCACGTGCCGCCCGCCTGGGACCTTGCCCTCGAAGTGATTGGCGCCCTGAGGGCTAGCTGCAATCCGATTGCGGCTGCCCGGGACAAGCTCGGTTTGCCCAACCCGCTCCCAGCCGACGGCGTGGCGGATGTGCACGCCTTCGCTTTCATCTCGAAGGACGAGCTTTCGCGCAAGTGGAGAAGCGTCGTGGACAACCTCCGAGATGATGTACCGGCGGCGATGATTTCCAACTGGGAAAGCGCTCTGGAGGGTGCGCTATGGATCAGGTGTGTTTTGCTTTGATCAGATTTGAATTTTGTGTTTTGTATCTGACTTTGCGGCAGTGCTTCATGTACAAGAAACGTGCCTGCACTTTATTTTACACTGCGGTTCATGGCAACACCACTATTTACAACTTTAATAATACTGGAGACCATGTAGCTCACACAAGCCCCGCCCCGCTCCGCCGACGTTCACGTCAGTGATTTTGCCGGCCACACGCTCCGTGTTGATGGTGGCGACGGTATCTTCCTGGACGTGTTGTGGCTCTCGAAGTGCTTGAGTCCTATCCTCAGCCACAAGCTCAAGAATCAACCCTTCGAAAACCGTTGGCTCTGGATGAGAGACGACCTAGCCGGCGACGGGATTCTACGGCGGGAGTTTGCCTTGCATATCTGGAGGGAAAGTGTCGGTGAAGTAGTGATGGAGTCGGAGGAGGTCGCGGAGGCTCTTTTTAGCGTCCTTATTAAGTTGGGTGTGGCTCTTCCCATGGGGCGTAGAACACTTTTAGCCCACTCCGATCGCAGTACGCCCACAGCCCCCAGTGACGTCAGCGGCTCGAATGACATGCTTGTGATCATGCGACTATCAGAGACGTGCAACGAGCACCAGCGAACGCTGTTCGACGGCCTTGCCTCTAAGATGCCGCGTGACCGGGTGACACTCAAGTGGGAATTCGACAAAGCGGGACCTCCGTATGGGTTAATAGAGCGGTTGATAGCATCTTGCCATGTCCTTGGCGAGGTGGAGACGGGAGCGTGTTGGCGATACGGCGCCGTGTTCCAGAGTCATGATATGAGGTTTGTCGAAGGAAGGAACGTTCGGTTTTACAAGATCGCTCTCAGCATGACGAGCTACAACGAGTCGGAGCGGGTGTTCACGGCGAAGGTGTTCGGGCCGCTTGACAGTGAGAGGGTGTGGGTGGCTATCCGCTACGTGGCGTCGGCAATGATCAACTTGTCCAAGGAGTGGCCTGGAGTGCTGTGGACAGGATGGCTAGATTGTGAGAAGCATCCATCGCAGCACCTTTACATGGCGTCATCGGTTGAGGTACGAGTATGCAGTACGATGCGTCTGTGGTTGCTTCCTTCGCCTTTTCGCCTTCAAAAACCGGTCGAAAGTCCTGTGATCTCGAAACTCCTTGTATGGTATTATCCCCCCTGCTGTCTGCCGCCCGACCGCAGGCAAGGGTCGGTGACCCCCTTCTTCCCGCAGCAGCTCCGGATGCTCGAAGGTGCGACTGCCTGTTGGAACCGGGTGGGGTGCTCAGGCTGGCTGTCGAGGAGCTTGGCCCCGTCATTGATACCGGAAAAGGTGGGGACAATCTTGGTGGGGTCGTCTGTTTCTTACTTTATCTGCAAGGGTATGGAAATTTCCACTCCCTGTCGCGGTGCGTTTCTACCAAAAAACACGTAGGCTACGTGGGAAATGGGGCCGTCAAATGTAGCCATCAATCATCAATTTCCCCTGACATTGTCGCGTCTCCCTGCTGGCTCTTGTACATGGTATTGACGATAGAGTTGGGTTGGGCACTAGAGTACCGAGGTTACCGCACACTTTTGCTGATTTGTGGACGCTCCCCTCTCGTTTGTCCTCGATAGATCCGTTCGAAGGCCTATCAGATGAGGACACGGAGGACCCGGAGGAGACTGTTACATGCAACTGTGTGCGCGAGGCATTCGGTCACTGGCTACCGCACGCTTGGAGAACTGCCAAATGGCTTTTTGGGCTTGCCGTGGTGCTCTTCACCACAGCTGTCGTCGCAGGCATCGTGGAAGACAAGGAAACCCTCTGGAAGAGTTCGTTAGGGGTCTGTTGTGTTTTGATGGTGTTTTCTGTAGTGGCTTCAGTTTTCGCGTACTGCGGGGATCGTGAACAGGGACAGAGTGGGGGACAACATGGAACGCCCGAGGACGTCGTTGCGGCCTTTGCATGACATGAAAAAGCCCTCCGAGAACATGGTTCAGAGCTCAGCAAACCTGGTGAAACGGGTGTAGTATCGGACGAATCTTTGGCATGTTCGGAGGCATGCGAAGGCATGAGTGTGTAAGGATGAGTGCGGAGTAGCACATTCGGAGGGAAGGACGTTGCCGTGCATGCCTTGTCCGCCTTGGGAAGAGATGGGGCTTTTGGGGTTGGTAGCCTTGCTGCGCCCGACGGGGTTGTCTTCTTTTGTGTGTCCTGCGGTAGATGGGAGTGTGTATGACGGTAGGCTTAATGACGTGAGTTTGTAACATATGGCATTGGCGTCCAAGCAAGCACGGGGGTGTGAAACAAGTATGTGTGGGTAGTATTGTCCTGCGGGTCACCCTGAAAAAATATGCCACTCTAGAAAATATTGTTTACATGACGATCATGGTACATTCGATTCCACGTGAGCGAGGGTTTATCAACTTCCAGACATGTGTTAGTTCCTCAGCATATAACAAACGTGATTCTAGTGTTGATTTGCGTATGCGTTCGGCGAAAAAGTAGCGCGTTGCAATGACCCCCTCCCTCAAGGCATCCGCCCTCCCCCGTCCTGTCTCGTGCCCTGAGACGGGGGGGGGCGCGTTTGAAGCGACTCAAGCATCATACAGCATTTTGCGCGTAAAATTGTCCTCCACCAGCAACCGCTACGATTCAGCGCCGCCAGTGGGCGTGAGGTGGAACCATGAAACCCCCCAAGGCCAGAGTTCGAGGGGGGAGTAATCTTATTTCGTGTCATCTCCACGGGGGGGCGCCAGGACGCGGCTCCATCGCTGGATACGTTTGCAGCGAGTCAAGCTATCGTGAACATGTTGTGAATTATGAACAAAAAACTCTCCCGGCCCGACAACTGCCGCACCGAAACACGCATTTAATCCCCACTCCTCTTCCGCTTACGGCCACTTGCGGCCGACGCGACCGCCGCAGCCCGCAGGGGCTCTAGATCCATCTCCATCATCGGTAGCTGTGGCTTGATGAGCTTCCTCTCGTCGTGGCCATGCCCGACAAACTTATTCACGGCTTTACAGTGCCCCTCCAACCAATTCGCCGAATACATTTCGTTGCGAAGCAGTCTCTCTGGGACCAGGTCTACGAGGGAGTATACACGACATTTCTTCCCCTTTCTTTTGACCTGATGAGACTTCAACTTGTACCCCCAGACGCTTTTGATGTAGCACTTGAATTCTTCCCGTGATTCCGCGGCCCTCGAGGTCCGCACGAGCTTGGCAGTTCGTATCGAAGTGATGGTTTTGTCGAGCATCGCCTTGGTTTCGTCTGGCATGTTTCTGAGGTCCAGTCTCTCCCCCGCAATACCCATATTTTTGAAGCCCATCTTCTTCAGCGTGTCGAGTATGTCTTTCGCGAGGGTGTAGTTTAGCCTAAATTCGTCGAGTGACTCTCGCATCAGCTGAAGGTTCATGTCGATCCTTTTCCTCACAATCGGCGGAAGCGCCGCGAAAAATGCGCGCGTGTGAATTACCCCCCTAAACTTGTTGAAATCCTCGACGTCATTGGCGTCAATCTTGTCCCGGTAGAAGCACTGAACTTTGTACTTTTTGATCTTGGCTACGTCCTCAAGGGTAGCCGCCCCCGCCCTCTGTTTCCTGACCAGCCTTTCATAGTCCTCACCATCCATCTCGTAGGCGTCTGCCTTATTCAGTCTATCTGTCTCTTCCTCCTTGACTTCGGCGCCCTTGGCCCCGAAATACTTTTCCAGTTTCTCTCCCTCCTCCTCACTGCCGACTCTGTCGATCGAGTTGGACCACGTGTACCCTTTCGCCTCGAATATCTGAAAGAGGTATTGTATCCAGTGAAAGTCGGCCAGGAAGCGTTCAACGTGACTCCACGCAAGTAGCTCCGTCAGTAGACTCGGGTAGAACCTGGCTTCGTGCCCCACACCCTGCTTGAATATGGTCCGGTTGAGCTCCCTCTGGTTCTCGGTCATCACGCCTGTGATGTACGTCCTCCGGTTCATGATTCTGTTCATCTCTTCCGTGTGAAGCTCCGCCATGTCTGCGATGAGGGGCTCCAGCGGGGCTCTCATGGGGTTGGGGACCTTCACCACAACAATCCCGCTCGTGATGTTGCGGAAACGGCTCTTCATCTGGTTCATGTCTCGTGGCCCGCACCCTCTCTGCGACGGGGAAATGTAGACCCGGTCTATAGGGCCCGTGTAGTCGACGCTGACGGTGATTGTTGAAGTTAATCCAATGAGCTTGTACTTTGGCCAGTGGGCGGATACGTCAGCTATCTCTGCTTGTTGGGGAGAGTTGGCGTAGTATATACCCAGCTTCTCCTTGTGGACGATGTCGAGAGCAAGCTTCTCGATTGTCTTGAGCTCCAGGGCCGAGCCGCAGCATACGCCGATCCTCTTGCCGGCGCGCAGGTCCTTCAGGATCATTTTGACGAAGGCCGCCGAGTCTGTGAATCTGACGTGCAGCTCCTGCCCTCCCCCCTTGTGGTCGATGTGGTGGATTTCTTCGTTCTTGAAGACGGTGTCGTAGAAGCACTGGACCGCACCGTCAACGTAGAGGTCGGCGTCAGCGCAAATCACCCGGTCCGCTTGGTAGATAAGCTACTGAAGCTTTTCCATGTTCTCCTGCATGTGCCCGTTGTTCGTTTCGCTGCACACGGCCGAGTTGAGCGTCGATCTTAGTTCGTCCATGATGATCATGTCGTATTTGATCCACGAGAGGCGGTGTAGGGATTCGTACTCGATGATCTGACGGTCTTTATTGATGCCGTCTTGGTAGTTCGTGAAGCCGCTGAATCGGCCGGTCAGGGTGGCGGCCATCCCCCGGCGACACGTGATGACGAGCACCCTCGGCGGATCCTTGTGATCAATGTCTCTTTCGATTTGAAACGTCTTCCCGGAGCGCATCGGGGCGCAAATCGAAATGACCTTAGACTTGACGTGCGTGAAGGACGGGAGGTACCTCGGTTTTTCTTGTTCTTCTGGTCCTTCTGGTTCTTGCACGCAGTGGAACTCTCTCAGGTCGAGCTCGACAGTGCGCGGCGCGTGTGGATTCATGCATTTGTACCTGAAGAAAAGCTCGCCGAGGTGCGTCAGGAAGGCGCCGTTGCTGTCGTGGGAGTCCTCGCAGCAGGGGCAGAACGCTCTGTGCCCCCGCACGGCGTACGAGTCTTGGCCGCCGTACACCCCGTTGTGCGTGACGGTCACCGAGTCCCCGAATTTGGTGCAAAGATAGTTCAGCAGCAGCAGCTCCGTTTCAGACGTCTCCCGCGTGCGGGGCCTGTGCACGAGCCGCCTAGTTGGTATGTTCCGTTTGGTTTTCTTCTTGGTGACCTCGAGGCCATCCGGCAGCTCGAAGTACGACACGTCCCTCGTGAACTGTTGGGTCACGATGCAACTCCTGATGGGCACGTGCTTCGACTCCTCCGTGCGCTCGAACGCTCCTCCGCCGAGTTTCTTCGCTGTCCCGATGAGGCTCATGGGTCTGTTCCTTGTGTAGATGCCCAGGTCCAACACGTTCCCGTCAGGAAGGACGATGTCGTGCTTGGCCACCAGGGGCTGCATGTCGGCGACGAGGGCTGTTTTGACGTGCTCCGCCAGCGCCTTCATCTCGCAGGACGTGTGGATCTCGTTAAATATCTCCGATCTGCCCAGGAAATGCAATGATATCTTGTACATGGGCTCCTTCTCTCCCCCCTTTTCTTTGTGTTCCGACATGCGAGAATTCTGGGTAATGACTAGGTTTTCGGCGTCCGCGTATTTGCCGTAGGCCTCACGGAACAAATTCTTGATGGTGTACTCGATTTTCTGCAGCTGTGTCCAGTGCGTCTCAGGGGGGCAGTAGACCTCCAGGTCCGCGATAAAGCACATGTCGCGTCCGGTACGAAGTATCTCGTAAACCGAGAACGCCCTTTGGTTGCGGTTGCACTCTTCCTGGGCGCGAAAGTACCATTCCCAGAACTCATCGAAGGTCTCGAACCACGTGAAGTAAAACCTGTCGACCATGACTTTTATGTATATTGCGACGTCGTCCTCGGCTGGCACACTTGCGAGCATCTCATCCTGTTTCCTGTAGAACCACTTGCCGCAGTGGAAGGCCATGATGGCAAGGGGGGTTTAGCCTGATATGTATCAGGACATATTTTATTTTACGCGGACGAAACGCGAAGGGGTGGGACATTCAAGGTTAAAAACGTGTCCTCTCTTGCGCTTTTCGCGTCTCTGCTGGAGGATTTCCTCTTTGTTTCTACTGTAGAATCTCTGCTGCGAAAGCCTGTGTGCCACCCTTTCAGCCTCGCTCTTCTTCCCCGGCAACGCTAGTAGTTTCTTCATCTTGTTCCTAATGGCACCCAGATGACGCGTATCATGGATACACTCTAGTGATGCCTTTGTCTGCTCCAAATCTCTCAATATTCCTGCGAGTATTTCCTCTCCCTGAGCATCTCGTGTCATCGGGGCTGGGGCAAGCGAGCACATGGCTTCGTGTCTACATATAGACAACAAAATAAAATCGGTGGTGGAGAGCGGAAAAATGCCTGTCAATAGAAAAAAAGAAACAAAGCTGTGTGTTAGAGCCCCTACAGCATCGGTGTACGTCTCTTTCAGCTGTACTGTTGTGTGGGGGGTAATGTCCGGTCGATCGAAAAAACAAACAAACAACAAAGGGGGGCCGGGAGGGTGGTTTTTTGGGAGCTGTTTATGGGGGGAGACGACCGCCGATGCTCGCGGATACCGGGGGGCCTCAATCGGGGGGAAACTAATAAGGAAGTAAAACCTTTTTTGAGGCCCTGTGTGTTAGAGCCCCTGCGACTCTTTACGTGTGGGGGCTTGAGGGTCCTGCTCTCTCTTGCAGGGGGAGGAAGAGAATCAGTGGCCTGTCCCCCCCCCCGTTGTACTGCTGTACGGGTGGTAGGGTGTCTCTCACTACCAGAGTCCGGTATGAAGATGCTTGCTACGAGCGGGCGGGTGGGCAGATGGGTAGGCGGGAGCATTTCAAATCCCCCTCTTGCAGCATGCCTCTATGTTTCTACTCATCTGGCGCCCCGGTCGATCAAAAACAAACAAACAAAAAAGGGGGGCCGGGAGGGTGGTTTTTTGGGAGCTGTTTATTGGGGGAGACGACCGTCGATGCTCGCGAATACCGGGGGGCCTCGATCGGGGGGAAACTAATAAGGAAGTAAAACCTTTTTTGAGGCCCTGCGTGTTAGAGCCCCTGCGACTCTTTACGTGTGGGGGCTTGAGGGTCCTGCTCTCTCTTGCAGGGGGTGGAAGAGAATCAGTGGCCTATCCCCCCCCGTTGTACTGCTGTACGGGTGGTAGGGTGTCTCTCACTACCAGAGTCCGGTATGAACATGCTTGCTACGAGCGGGCGGGTGGGCAGATGGGCGCGGGTGATTTGGATTTTGTTGTCCAGCGCCGTGTGTTCGGCGGGCGTTTGTTTTTGTTACCTCTCGCCAGGTACATTTTTGTTGTGTTTTGGAATCCACCAAATCTGTGAGTATTGCGTGTTCCGACGGCGAGTTCAGCCCCGCAAACACTGCTGACATGACGCCCTGGGTCATCAGCAACCCGTGCAAAAAATCCGGGGGCAAACAGAGCCCGTGTCGGCGAGGAACGACGATTTTTGCTATTCCCCCCGCATCTCCGCCGAAACGGCAAATTTGTTTTTCCGGAACTGGAAGTTTGCGCTCTGCACGAATTTTGCCTCTCACATCCCACATCCCACTTCCCTCTTTTCCCCCCTCGACACAGCTCGGACATCGTAATTCACGGCAGCGTAGCGTAGCAGGACTTAGCTGAGAGGTGAGAGGAGAGCTGTGAGAGCGCGAGGTATGACATTCTGCCGCTCTCTCTGCTTGTGGAGACGTGCTCATATCTTTCAACCATGGTAAAACCACGGTGGTAGCGCGCATTTGAGAACTTGGCTGGCGACCGCGCGCTCATGAAACCCCCCCCCCCGCGGCACGCGAAGTGGGAAGCGGTTAACACACACAGCGTTTCACTATGTCGATGGGTTCGAAATGTACCATCCTGTACCTGAACGTCGGATGCCACTGCAGAATCGGCATGACCGAAGGGATACCGGGGAGCATCAGAACCAAGAGCAAAAAAACGTCAGTTCCCCTCCCCGCCCCGCAAGACATCGATATACGAAGGAGTCATCTCCGAGCTGTAGAATACCTGGGAATCGGTTCAAGTAAAAAAAAACACATCGAAAAAATGGTTTCAGGAGGGCGCGTGAGGCTGAGTCTTACGGCGTGATTATTTCCGGATTGGATTTGGGGGGGGG